AAATTCAGTCATTGAAGTAAAATAATTATATTTATTTACGATTTTCAAAGATAAACAGAAAATTCAATCTACGCCCTAGCTGCTAACCCTTCCGCATGTTTACTTATTTTAGCTATTTTCTCCGATTTCACGCACAGAAAATAAGATTTTCCATATCTTTTATCCGTCTGCGGAATAGCTCGTATTTTCGTAATTTAGACGTCGCTGCTTCTTGTATTCTGGAGAGAAAGCAAACAAAAAAAGCGAAAAAATAATAGAGGTGGATTTGCGGTGAAAATATTTATTTGCTCATTCAATTAATCTTGTAAATTTTTATTTATTGTGTGAATAAAAACAATTCAAACAAGCCATTTAGAAATCCCAAGTCCAGACTCTGCAAATCCAATGTCGTGATTCGTTTTTGCGGTTGTAATATCGCGCGATTTTAAAATTATGCATCTTGATCTAAAAATTACGCATCATGATTTGTATTTTCACATTTTTTTAAATTCTATGTAGAGTTTCATATTCACGTGATTTAAAAGCCTCATATCGGGATTTATAATCACATAGTTTATAAGTTTAAAAATCGCACTTTTTTTGTCAAATTTTTGTTTATACATATGTATATATTCTTGGATTTCCTCTTTTTTACTTTCTGACTACTCTCATCCCTGTTAGATAAACATTTTTTTGACGTGGTTCATTCGTGCCGATTTTATCGCAAATCAAATTATTTATCAATCTTTTTTTGGCAATTATTGCTACACATTTCTACAAGGTTTTGAAAGTCCCGATATTTTTTATACGCTATTGCGACACTTAAATTTCGAATCCCGCATTTAAATACGTACATCACTTTTTGACGCGCTTTATTTATGCCGATTTCATCGTAAATTTAAAGAGATTTTAATAGTTTTTTTCGATAGTTATTACTACTTTCCTTGCGATTTAAAAAAAATGCTTCTCTAATTTTTAATCGTAAATTAAAAATTTTATTCCTTATTTTAATATTTGTAAATCTGTTGGTTTTAATTTCATATCAGTAATGAAGCTTCAATTCTTAGTTTCTTTCTCTGTAATGATTGCTATTTAAATTAACAAGTATATTTTTATAACATAATATATTTAAGTTTTGAAATAACTAAGGGAAATTGAAGCTTACTTTTGAAGTTTATAATTTCAATAAATTGGGTATTTAATGATTGAAAAATGTTTTAAATGTCAGGATTTCTATATTAATTTTGTCTAATAATATGAACGTAATTTAGGTGAAATGTAAAAAATAAATAGCGTGAGATTTTAAATTTTTCGACAGTCGATTAAAAATTATTTCCATGGCTAACACTAAACAGGA